ATGCTTCTTCTTTTCACTCCAATCACTTGCAGAAAGGATTTCCGGCCCTATTATGAATGAATGATAGGCTAAATGCAAATGAAAAGCACACGAAATAGCGCACTGCAAAAACAATACATCTTTCACGTGGAACAGCGAAGTACGAAAGGCAAGGGGTTATCACATGATTCGGAAGGCATTTTGGGCATTCTGGGCTCAGACAGTGGATTACGTTATATTGGCATTTTGTCGTACCAATGGCAGAAATAATGCTGTTAAGTGCCTTTGTAACTTGATTTTTTCATCAAATGGGGTCTTCGTAAGCCGGGGTTCCACTGTATTGTAGTGATCCAAAAATATTTATTATATCAACTAGAGATGGACCGATCCGATACTACGTCCGATACTGACCTAAATCATTGGATCGGATATCAGAGAGAAATAAAAAATGTAATCCGATCCCTTAAATATAACGAAAGCACCTCACAAAACTTGCGACATAGCATAACACAGCTCATAACCTTAGCCTGTCGGAGCAGTATGCGTCACGTGGTAGAGCGGCTGTGGCGTGCGAGGTCTGGTTGAGCATTTGGAGCCTCGTTACTAAACCGGCATTTCATCTCTGAGGAAGTTATATATGGAGCGACTGCCTCTTCTCTCTCCCTCCCACTCCTGTTGCTATTTCAATGATGAAACTGATGATCAGCTGATCGACTTTGCTCTTGCGAGTCCGTCTCTCATTTGTTTATCGCCCACTTTGCGCCAGAACAAGGAAACCAGCGGACAAAGCATGCTGTTAGAGGCTGTTGTTAGAAATCATCTAATATTACTTTCTACACCAGGATCCTTTTTTTTGTAGCTAATGGCTGGTAACTGTGCAGGGGTGGGTCTAGCAAAGTTTTGCCAGGGGGGCAGGTAGGGCATTAACAGGGAAAGGGGGGCACAAAGAAATACTTTTCTTTCTTACTCTCATTTAAAATATCTAGCTTTTAATAAATAATTATCTGAATATAACACCCAAAGTTTTAATCTGATGTAAAATATATAGAAGTCCATTACTGTATATTATAACTGTTAAGTCTGACATAACCTAGTAAGCTAGTACTTTTTTCCCTTTGGGAAGGTACCATCAGTGCAGTCTGCAGTTCTTTTGAAGAAAGATTTTGAATCTATTTAATTATTCTTGAAAATTAATTGATTTCTGTTCATTTTTTTTTCACAGTGCATAAAATTAAAGTTAATTACGTCGATTAAGCATCATGAAGTGGAGGGTGGGGGATGTTCCTTTTTTTTTTGTTGTTGCTAGGAGTTGGCAACTCTATTAGTTAGGTTGTTTAATATTTCCGCTAAGTACTACCAGAATACCAGAATAGGGAGGATAGTGTAGGTTTAGGTTTAATATTATGATCAGTATTGTTGAACTATGAAATATTTTGAGTGCAGTGTATTTTTTACATACAAGTACAACAGAATAGCTTTAGTGTTTTTTTTTTTACTTAAGTATAAACTTGTAAAAAATGCAGCAAGTGGTCTTGGGACAACTTTGTGGCCTTTGCATTTTTTAATTTCAGGCCATTTTCAATGTGTTGAATGGAATATAGCAAAATTTTCCAAAATTGTTTTTTTAATTTAACAATTTAAAAAGTTCCTTAAATTAGCTTCAGTGGCTAAGCTACAGAAACACATCCTCCAGTGTTCCTAGTGGTCGATTTGTGCCCTATTGAAAACCATTATAAACGCTATTTTTAATTGCACGATTATTATAACTAAATTTAATGCCATCCTCCAAGTGAGGGTGACACTTTGGAGTCCCGGTCCTAAAATTGTATTTTTTCTATTTGTCCACCGGGTGGCGCCATTTTTTCATATTTCAGCATTGAACAAACTCCAACCAAAAATTTAGATTTTGAGCGTGTCATTCTGCTTTAAAAAGTGAAAAAAAGAGTGGTGTTGTGTGTCCCTATCAATGAACTTTGTATTTAAAAAAATATAAAGGTGTTTATGCCTAAAAAAAAGAAAAAAATTGACACAAACACACTTTGTTTTTCAAAGGTATTCAAAAGTATTCAAAAGTATTTCCTCTTAGACGGCCACACTGCAACACAAACAAATTAAATATAAAAGCAAGGACCAAAACCAAATTAGATTTTATTTCTCCCTTCAAGCACATTTTTTAAACAGGGCTGCGGTTGAATGACCCATGCCCCGGAAGTAGTCATTGACTGAAAGCCGTAGTGCATATGTAAACACAGAGCGAATTGAACAGAGAAGGAAGCGGCATTCCATCTCCAACTGTCATGGATCGGGTAGCGACACTAACTATCTGCAAATTGTGAGCGAAGAGGAGATTGATGGGAACAGTCACAGCAGGATTTCGAAAAGTGCCAAAGTGCCAAAGTGCACACTCCCCACAATAAACACCCTGCTTCCTCTGTCGGGACTACCCACAAAGTGTGAAAAAGTGAAAAGTAAGTATCGTTACATTACATTCAGCTTGAGGGTTATAACAGAAAATTATATTTTATCTAACTCTAAGATGGCACGGTCACATCCAGACGCCCTCCTGACCGCTCGCTCAGATTATGTGCCATTTTAGTTGTTTACTTAGTTTTTGCTCTGTTTTACAACCCCAAATCCTCTAGTTTTATAATCTACGACAGCAGATCACTTCTAAACATCAGTGACAAGGTTGCACATGTAATCTTGGGCACTTTTAAACACGACCCGTCCAGGCCACCTGAGATGTTAGGCGGAGCACAACAACGGACAGGCTGCTCACTCGAGGCACAAGACGCACCGGGTGAAACATTCTGGCGTTCTGAACTTTTTTGATACATTTCAGTGCGTGTTGTACTTGTATAACTATGCATGTGACAAAATTGTTATTATTGTTCACACGTGCTATCGTGTTATATGACCTGTCCTGCCAAATTAAATAGAACATGTTTGGATTGGGATTATCTGATTTTCTGAAGAACAAAAAGAGTGAAAATTAGTATCGTTACATTATCATTCAGTTTAAGGGCCACAGCACAAAATTATATATTTGTTTTCACGCGGTATCGGACGTGTCGTGCTGAGGACACTGACACTGGGACCCAAACACTATCCCACCACTGGAGCTACTGGCAGCAGCCGCTGGAGCCACTGGAGCTGCTGGCAACAGCCGCCGGACACACAACTTTCCTCTATTCCCAGCAAAATAAATATTCATGTTCATCCTTTTCTGGTTCAAAGTGATCTTCTATTGTTATTTAGACATTTTTTATTTTATTTAAGAACAAAACAAGGTAATAAGCATATAGTGTAAGCAAAAAATTATGAACCTGATATAGCACTATATTACATTTAGTGTGCTTCTGCAAAAAATAGTAATGTATCAAAATGAATGTTGGTGCCAATCTTTGGTCCATCTAAAGGTCTAATTATAATAACAATCAAATATAACTTCAAATGTATTTTATGGAAAATTTTTATGGTTTTTATTTTGTTTTTTTGGCTAAGAAAACAGTGCGCTCATGTAATGAAACTGGGATTTAAAGGGTTAAAACCCGCGAAATATAATTAAAACTTTATATGAATATTTCAGGGAGAAGCAGTTTTAAAAGATTGACTTACTTAAAGTGGAAAAAAATATTAATCTATAATTTTTTTATAGCACTTTTTGGGGGGTGGCCATTTTGTGGCAACAACAGTTCTATTGATTAAAAACAATTAGACTATATCGGATTCATATCAGTATCGGCAGATATCAAAATTTATGATATCAGCATTGGTATCGGACATAAAAAAGTGTTATTGTGCCATCTCTAATATCAACACAATCAGAGAAGAGAAGAAGTGGATCCTGAGCTTATAAGTCCTCACAGTTCCCTCCTCATCATGTTCATGAGAAACAGAAATGTATGTTTGGTGTTTTCAGCCAAGGAAACATACTTCATGGGAGTTTAAACTAGAAAAACTAGTAACTGCATGCAGCATAGTTTAAGTTTACAGCACAGCTGATCTTTGTGATGCCTTAATCATCAGCTGTCAGCAGAGAAATTCTTCACTGATCGTCCTCATATGAGTGTGTCACACTCGACATATTAACTTGGTTATTCACACTTCTCATGAATAAATGTGAGTTGCTGTTAAAGGAAACATGAAGAGTCTGGATCAGACTGCTTCCTGCTCTGCAGGTTCTCACCTCTGCTGACCAGAAGACCACAAGATCTCACTCTGACCTGATCTTCTGGACTCAACCATGTGATCCTTGTTAAAGTGTTTCACATCTTTACACCTGAACATTTCTAACAAACTGGCTTCACTGAGTGTCTGATGTAGAAGGACTTTATAACAAATTATTCTTAGTTTATTATAAATATGATGCTATTGCTATTAATGGTTAAAAAGTGACTGATTCATGTTCTTTTGTGTATCTGACTGCGTGTTTTGTGGTAATCTTAAGCTTTATATGAGTAACTCAAACAACATCAAGTAGCGTCATTCAGACCGAAAACTCACAAGGAACAAATTTTCAAAGTCCTAGACAAAACAGCCCAAAGACAAGAAACTGGAAACACAAGAGACACATACTGACCAACTATTAATGGTTCAAAGCTTTAAATGCAAAAAGAAAACTCAGATCCACTGATTAAAAACACAAAAGCTGCCGAATCCAAACACTTTGCTTCATATTATGACTCAAGTCAAATCCTCCACAGGCAGATATATGCACGCTGACATTTTTCAGAACAAACTGAGTTTATCTAATTTTTCCAGTTAAAAGAAGCGCAATGATCTATCAGACCAATGATCAGTGTTTGATGGCTCTAAAGTTTCATACAGATCTATTTAAACTGTTCATCACAGTAACAAATGTTTCAGTGCTAAGTTACTGACTGATAATCAGTGTGGATTCAATCAATCAATAATCTATAATCACGTGGATTTGTCTTCAAATACATAAATTTTGTCCTGAAATGAGAGTTGAACATCAGGTCCAAACATTACAGAGTAGAAACAAAAAGCAAACTTACAGTTTCTTCACACAGAGACAGCAACAACGAGCTCCACTCCACACCTGGACACTAAACAGGGACACACAGTTGAGCTGCTTCCTGGAAGAAGGCGGGACTCCATGTGAAGCTCAGGCGGAGCTCAGCAGGGACAATCGAGTTCATTTAACTGGACACTGGAACATTTCTCTGCTTTCATTCTCTTTCATTTCCATTAAATTTGCATTTGATGTGCCTGTGTGTGTCTCTGTGTTCAGATGTGACTGACTTCTTCTTTTTGAATTTTTGCTGCATGTTCATCTCTATTACGGAGATGTGTTTGTCACACGATTTTATCTTTACTGATTTGACTTTTAGACCCCAGAGAATGTTTCACTGCTCACACTTAAAAACAGGAAAGTTTGAACAGAAGTCACTTTCACTTCCTTACAAGCTGATCTTTAAAATATCAACCTTTGCATTAAACTATAATTCATAATCACTTTCCTTAACTACAGTGAGTCTTTTAATGAATGATTTAAAGATGTTTCTTTGGAGAAGACAAATCAAATCAGTCCATTAATTCCATTGATGTTGATCATTGTAGAAACTTTACTGAATGTGTAATAAAATGTATTTGTGTTTTTTTATTCAATGTAGCCTTCAAACTGGTCAGACTGGTTTAGATTCAAGTTTTGATATGAAACCTTGATGTAGCTGCCGTGTGAACACACTGATACCTGATCAGCTCTGACACAGTCACACTGTTTGCAGTATAAATATTTACACTGCAAACATTCAGAGTGAGTTTCTGTTTCTAGTCTATGGATCCAGTCACACTTTCTACCTTTCCCAGTGAAGTAAAGACTGAGAGCAGAGTTGAAACCAACAGTGAGCAGCATCAGCACCTGCGCTTCATTCAAATGTGGTGACAGGGTGGGGTTATTTGTTCAGCTGCAGGGGAAATTTCTTTTCACAGATGCAATCATTTAAATGTGAGTTTCCTAATTCTCAGTAATGTGCTGGGACTGAGAGTCCGCGGGATAAAGTGGGCAGTGATGTAAAAACAGAGCAGTTCAAACTCTGTAGTACAGAAATAAAAAATCAATCTGTGTATTGTTAGTGTTTTTGTTAGTGATTTTCAGATGAAGCTTCACGAGGCTTTGAACCTTCCAGCTAACTGGTTCGCAGAGTTTCATTTCTCAAGGGTCAGAATCAGAAAGACTTTATTTATCCCCAAAGCGCAATTAAGATACAACAGAGCAGCATGACGTTGAAGATAAAGACAGGGCATAAACTGGCAATAAGAGTAAGATAATAAATACACACAGAACATACAGTATATACACAGTTTTAAAATTAAACTGACTGAAAGGTGAATAAATAACTGTAAGTGACTAAAAGTGAATAAAGTGTCGGCAGTATAAAAAGAGTGCAGAGTAGTTTATGTTTCTGGTGTGGGAAATGTTCTTATCGGCTGGAGTTAAAAAGCAGAGTGCCTTTGGGGACAAAGGTGGCTTTCCTCCACTCAGTCCTGCAGGAAATGCAGCGGAGCCGTCGCCCAGAGGGGAGCCATTGAAATGTGGGGTGAAGAATGTGAGAGGGGTCATTGATGATTTTGGTTGCCTGTCTAAGGGCCTGTTGCTGAAAACCTGAGCCAGAGTTCTGACAGGCCAATGATTTTAGAGCACACTGGTGCCGTGTGCTGCAGTCTGTTCCTGCTCTGAACGCTGAGGGAGTGGAACCAGCAGGTGATGGAGAAGGTCATGATGCTTTCCAGGAAGGCGTAGTATTTCAGGAGGTTGTCAAAGATGGTTCCCAGGTATTTGTACTCCTCAACTACCTCCACTGGCTTCCGGTGGATGGTGGTGGTGACTGAAGCAGCCACGGGAAGGTCACCACCATCTCTTTGGTTTTGCTCACGTTCAGTTCAAACTCCTGCAGAGTGGGCCCTTGGTGTTGCGAGGGGCCTGACAGCAGTGACAGGACAACTGTGTCGTCAGCATATTTCACCATGTGACAGTTGGGCTGTGTGGGTCTGCAGTCATCAGTGTAGAGGATAAAGAGCTGGGGGGAGAGCATACAGGCCTTGGGAGAGCCAGTGGAGGTGGAACGGAGACTGGAAAGAGAGTAGTTGACCCGTTGGTCAAAAAGTCCAATATCCACTGGATCAGCTGACCATCCTGGTGATATCGGGAGGAATGTTTAGTGGCCAGGATATGAGGCTGAAGAGTGATGAACGCTGTTGAGAAGTCTGGCGGTTGAGTCAGGGAGCTCCAGATGTTTGGGGATGGAATCCAAGATGAAGATTTTTGCATCATCGACACCGGCACGGTAAGCAAACTGGAATCAATCCATCAGGGCTCAGTTGCTCTTATGATGTGCTGTTTTATGATCTTCTCCATGACCTTCATTACCAGGAAGGTGAGGGCCACAGGACGAAGATCATTCAGAGACTTTGGGTTGTTTCTTTTGGGGATGGGGATTACTGTGGAGTGTTTCCACAGCTGGGGGACGGTGTGACTGTCAGTGTTGAAATAGAGTCCGGAACACAGTTCCTAGTTTCCCTACACAGTGCCTCAAAACCTGACTGCTGATGTTGTCAGGGCCAGGTGAGCTCCTTGCCCTGGTCCTCCTGAGAGCTCTCACCACGTCCTCAATGCTGAAGGTGAGTGCAGAGCTGCCAGGTTTGAGTGAGGATCTGGACTCCTGAAGCTGGGCCATGTTGTCCGTTTCAAACCTGGTGTAGAAAGCGTTGAGGTCGTCAGGGAGGGAGGAGGGGTTGCTGCCCTCCACCTGGATGGTTCTGGGGTGAAGACCGCAGTATTCACAGAGGCCATGGTTTTGAGGCCCTGCCAGGCTGAGTGGAGGTCCCCTGTGGTCAATTTATTTTCAACTGTGTTTTTATACTTCAGTTTAGCAGATTTTATGGCCCTCTTCACCTCCTTTTTGTCCAAAGGAGAGCCGGTGAAGAAAATCCTCTTTTTTTATCAAGGATTTCTTTGAGCTCCTTGGTGATCCAGGGTTTGTTGTTGGAGACTGTTTTTGAGAGGATAATGTTGTCAACACAGAAGGAGATGTATGATGTCACTGTGTCGACTTGTTCGTCAATGTCATCAGAGGGAGAAAGAAGGCTGTCCCAGTCAGTGGCTTCGAAACCTTCTTGAAGGTGAGGATACTTTCCTCTGTCCACTGCTTGATGTTTTTGGTGACCTTTTTAATCCTCTTGATGACTGGGGTGTAAGCAGGGGCCAGCAGGATGGTGTGGTGGTTGCTAAGCCGAGAGGGGGGAGGGGTAGGGCTTTAGATGCATCTGGTACAGAGCCATAGCATTTATCCAGAGATTCATGTGCACAGAAACCTCCCTGCTTGTTAAAAATAGGCGCAGTTATTACGGGTCATTTTAAGAACAGGATTTGTGATACAGATCTTCTTTAGATTTCAGACTATCATAATTTAAAGAAACTGCTGCAGCTTTTTGGACCTCACCTTTCTCGTTCTCTTGTTCCTCCTGATATTTTGTCTTCATCTTCATATTTACACGACCAAAGACGAGAAACCAGTAGGATTTTTAACATTAATACAAATGTAATACAGCTGTCACACTTTGCATCACACACATTTATCTTATAGCGAGGCCCTATGTTGGGTCTGCTCAAAAGGTTGATTCTGTTCATCTGGACGTTTTCAGTGGTAGAAACGTTTCATCACTCATCCAAGCAACTTCTTCAGGGTAAGCTGACTGCAGGTTTCCCCAACCTTATAACCAGCACATTTGCACAGTAACTCAGTGTCTGAGGCCGCAGGGGCAGTGTGGCAGCAATTTTTCACAACCAAAGACCAAGACAGACTTTTAATTCATATGAAAGCCTGATGCTTAGCCTTGTCCACCCCAGCTGTAAAACTCAGAAACCAGTCTTACTTGTTATCATCTATCGTCCACCTGGGCCTTACACATAGTTTCTCTCTGATTTCTCAGACTTTTTATCTGATTTAGTTCTCAGCTCAGATAAAATAA